TCCCTTTCTTTACATACAGTACGCTATACAAAGTCTTGGATTGTTAGACATTCCCTTTCGACACGTTGCAATTCTCAATGTCAAACATTTTACAGTGCACTCTGTGTTTGTGTACCATGTGTACTGTGCATGTGTGGTTGCACAGACTCCTATGAATGGCTAGTGACTGTGTCGGTGGCAGTGAGGAAAAGCACAATGTGGCGCTACAGCCTACTTCTGGAAGCACTATAGCCTGGAGAACATGGGCTGCTGCGTGTAAAAGTGGACATGTTGCCCAACCACTATCATTAGTACAAGTGCGCTGGTATCATCCCTGCTCAGGAAGTCCGCTGGAATGACACACATTCTCCATTTCAACTGGTATATTGATACAATAATTTAACACCATCTCTTGTTAACTTTCATGGGCATAACAGCCATAATGGATGGCTTCATTAAGAATGACTTCTTTGACACCATCATACCAGGAAAGGAATGGGCCTTTGGCACAGTTAAACTACAGTACCCACAACCACTGGGTGCCAGGACTAGTAAATGGTATTACAGTATGGCAGGTACAGTACTCGTTAGCACATGGTTGTGTTAGCACGTTAATTCTACTGAGCACATCGGAAAATTAGCTTTTCTTACCTATGTGTAATAATAATAATCACTTTTTATACAACTGTTCAAAGCAATTTACACACACAAAAAAATGAAAATATCCAAAGATCAGAAGTACAATAGTAGACAAGTGAAGACAGCATAAAGTGAAATTAACAATGAGTACAAGCATAAGCAGGAAGACCTAATACACAATGATTTTGAGGGGTAACTGAAACCTTTTAGATAAAATCATTTTAATGTGGACATTTGTAGAATGGCACTAAATACACACTGGCCTGGTCCCAGATCCGTTTGTGCCGTCTTGCCAACTCCTATGGTCATTGTCATGCCAAACAATGTGCAAGACAGCACAAACAGATCTGGAACCAGGCTATATGTGACCAATGCACTTTCAACTCTCATGCTTTTCTAACAGTTTAGCTAATTGGCACTAGAGAGTGAGGATGCAGTAGCCTGGTCCAATATCTGTTTGTGCTGTCTTGCGCTGACCATACTGGAGTTTGTCAAGACAGCACAAACAGATCTGGGACCAGGCTAAGATTGCAGTGGGTAAAGTTAAGAGAGCCTAACCCCCCCCCCAGTTACTGTATTGGTGAGGGTGTTCATCTAAGTGGCACAGTGAGGAACATGCTAAGCTGTTTTCAGGTCATATCACAAAGTTGTAGATAGCAATAGTTATTCTGATGTCTCTGTATGTGAAGACAGCTATGTTCACACCTCACCTTCATGTTAAACAGACACATTTTGATTGGGAGTTGTTTAATTATGCTAATTAGATTTCAGCAGGGGCGCGGACATCAACTACAGTGGGGAGAACAAGTATTTGATACACTGCCGATTTTGCAGGTTTTCCTACTTACAAAGCATGTAGAGGTCTGTAATTTTTATCATAGGTACACTTCAACTGTGAGAGACGGAATCTAAAACAAAAATCCAGAAAATCACATTGTATGATTTTTAAGTAATTAATTTGCATTTTATTGCATGACATAAGTATTTGATCACCTACCAACCAGTAAGAATTCCGGCTCTCACAGACCTGTTAGTTTTTTCTTTAAGAAGCCCTCCTGTTCTCCACTCATTACCTGTATTAACTGCACCTGTTTGAACTCGTTACCTGTATAAAAGACACCTGTCCACACACTCAATCAAACAAACTCCAACCTCTCCACAATGGCCAAGACCAGAGAGCTGTGTAAGGACATCAGGGATAACATTGTAGACCTGCACAAGGCTGGGATGGGCTACAGGACAATAGGCAAGCAGCTTGGTGAGAAGGCAACAACTGTTGGCGCAATTATTAGAAAATGGAAGAAGTTCAAGATGACGGTCAATCACCCTCGGTCTGGGGCTCCATGCAAGATCTCACCTCGTAGGGCATCAATGATCATGAGGAAGGTGAGGGATCAGCCCAGAACTACACGGCAGGACCTGGTCAATGACCTGAAGAGAGCTGGGACCACAGTCTCAAAGAAAACCATTAGTAACACACTACGCCGTCATGGATTAAAATCCTGCAGCGCACGCAAGGTCCCCCTGCTCAAGCCAGCGCATGTCCAGGCCCGTCTGAAGTTTGCCAATGACCATCTGGATGATCCAGAGGAGGAATGGGAGAAGGTCATGTGGTCTGATGAGACAAAAATAGAGCTTTTTGGTCTAAACTCCACTCGCCGTGTTTGGAGGAAGAAGAAGGATGAGTACAACCCCAAGAACACCATCCCAACCGTGAAGCATGGAGGTGGAAACATCATTCTTTGGGGATGCTTTTCTGCAAAGGGGACAGGACGACTGCACCGTATTGAGGGGAGGATGGATGGGGCCATGTATCGCGAGATCTTAGCCAACAACCTCCTTCCCTCAGTAAGAGCATTAAAGATGGGTCGTGGCTGGGTCTTCCAGCATGACAACGACCCGAAACACACAGCCAGGGCAACTAAGGAGTGGCTCCGTAAGAAGCATCTCAAGGTCCTGGAGTGGCCTAGCCAGTCTCCAGACCTGAACCCAATAGAAAATCTTTGGAGGGAGCTGAAAGTCCGTATTGCCCAGCGACAGCCCCGAAACCTGAAGGATCTGGAGAAGGTCTGTATGGAGGAGTGGGCCAAAATCCCTGCTGCAGTGTGTGCAAACCTGGTCAAGACCTACAGGAAACGTATGATCTCTGTAATTGCAAACAAAGGTTTCTGTACCAAATATTAAGTTCTGCTTTTCTGATGTATCAAATACTTATGTCATGCAATAAAATGCAAATGAATTACTTTAAAATCATACAATGTGATTTTCTGGATTTTTGTTTTAGATTCAGTCTCTCACAGTTGAAGTGTACCCATGATAAAAAATTACAGACCTCTACATGCTTTGTAAGTAGGAAAACCTGCAAAATCAGCAGTGTATCAAATACTTGTTCTCCCCACTGTATAGGGGGTTAAACATGTATCACGACAACAGGGAAATAATTAAAATCTGATCAGAAATGATAGAGGATAGAAGTAAGACCGCTGCAAATCTCCTCAAATCAAAACTGGCTTCGCATTTCAACTTGCGAGGTGCTTGGAATTGGAAACATTAAATAAATACACTACATGACCAAAAGTATGTGGACACCTGCTCGTCGAACATCTCATTCCAAAATCATGGGCATTAATATGGAGTTGGTCCCCCCTTTGCTGCTATAACAGCCTCCACTCTTCTGGGAAGGCTTTCCACTAGATGTTGGAACATTGCTGCAGGGACTTGCTTCCATTCAGCCACAAGAGCATTAGTGAGGTCGGGCCCATTAGTGTTGGGCGATTAGGCCTGGCTAGCAGTCGGCATTCCAATTCATCCCAAAGGTGTTCGATGGGGTTGAGGTCAGGGCTCTGTGCAGGCCAGTCAAGTTCTTCCACACCGATCTCGACAAACCATTTCTGTATGGACCTCGCTTTGTGCACGGGGGCATTGTCATGCTGAAACAGGAAAGGGCCTTCCCCAAACTGTTACCACAAAATTGGAAGCACAGAATCGTCTAGAATGTCATTGTATTCTGTCGTGTTAAGATTTCCCTTCACTGGAACTAAGGGGCCTAGCCCAAACCATGGAAAAAACAGCCCCAGACCATTATTCCTCCTCCACCAAACGTAACAGTTGGCACTATGCATTGGGGCAGGTAGCGTTCTCCTGGCATCCGCCAAACCCAGATTTGTCCGCCGGACTGCCAGATGGTGAAGCGTGCTTCATCACTCTAGAGAACGCATTTCCACTGCTCCAGAGTCCATTGGCGGCGAGCATTACACCACTCCAGCCGACACTTTGCATTTCGCATGGTGATCTAAGGCATGTGTGCGGCCATGGAAACCCATTTCATGAAGCTCCCGATGAACAGTTCTTGTGCTGATGTTGCTTCCAGAGGCAGTTTGGAACTCGGTAGTGAGTGTTGCAACCAAGGACAGATGATTTTTATGCGCTATGCGCTTCAGCACTCAGCGGTCCCGTTCTGTGAGCTTGTGTGGCCTACCACTTCGCGGCTGAGCCGTTGTTGCTCCTAGACGTTTCCACTTCACAATAACTGCACTTACGGCTGACCGGGGCAGCTCTAGCATGGCAGAAATTTGACGAACTGACTTATTGGAAAGGTGGCATCCTATGATGGTGCCACATTGAAAGTCACTGAGCTCTTCAGTAAGGCCATACTACTGCCAATGTTTGTCTATGGAGATTGCATGGCTGTGTGCTCGATTTTATACACCTGTCAGCAACGGGTGTGGATGAAATAGCTGAATCTACTAATTTGAAGGGGTGTCCATATACTTTTGGCCATGTAGTGTATTTGCCAGACATTTGTGATTCCATGGTGTTTATGTATGTAGCTGTATTTCCTTACATCTTCTAAATGTTTTGATACTGAACATGTTTGATTTTGGACATATTACACACTCAGACAGCTATTCATTCTGTTCAATCAAATGTTTGTTATTTTCTATGCTCACAGTACATTCGCTGTTAATCCCTCCATATGGACCGTAACTGAAACAAAGACTTTCAGGAGGACATGCAAAGGTGAAGATCTATTCCACAACAGGCCATCTTGGACACACTGCATTCTTGAGTCCTTCTTTCACCCTTGTGTTTTATTCCAAGATGAGACAGGGTAAAGCTGCCTCTTAATACTCCTCAGACAAAAATACCCTAGTACCTCACTGGAACGTAATAGACACATGTCCTACCATAGGAGGAACCAATTACTCTTAGTACATCTTTTGTGCATTTTCACCCTTTCATATCCACACTAATTCCAATAGACCTATTCTTCTGTTTTTTTCTCCCCCTCCGATCGTTGCACTCTTTCTCCCTGTCGCCGCCCCAGTGGTGAGGTGAGCTCACTGCAGGGGGCAGAGTCATGGCATATTTTATGGGAGGTGCTATTGGATCTGGCAGGCTGAGGAGGAGGTGGCTTGGCAGCATATGCAGGTGGGATTGACTGATTTGGGCGGGATCAGATCCAGATCCTCGTCATCAGGGATTTCATCCAGCCTGTAACCGTCCTTCAGGAGCTGGATGTTGAGGTCCTGGTTGACCTGCTGCAGGGGACAGAGGCCAAAACGTGATCATTTCTCAATCATAGTAATAAGAACCACACATCTCATTATTGAGTTGAAATCTTACATCTTTTAGGTACATCATACGGAACTATAAAAATGCTATGGGTCGTGCTAGTGCTAGTCGTTGTATAGTCGTACACCTAACACCAAGTAATGGTGTCAAAAGATAAAACTGTAGTGAGACAATAAGGAGAAAATGACTACTAAAACACATATAGACGAACACATATAGACGAACACATATAGACGAACACATGAATAGAAATGAATGGTACTGAATGTGATGTATGGATAAATCATGACTGACAGAAACTCCTTAGTTATAAATTGACTAAATTGAATGGTGGTCCGAGGAGATGAGATACAGGTTACAGGATAGAGGCCATGGGAATTAACATAAGCAGGACAGTGAAGTGTTATGACAGGTTATGTAGTGCTTATGACAGCTTATAACGGGTTGAGGTGATATTAGCTGTATGTAGTGCATAGATACCTGGTACCTCAGACATCTCACCTCGGCTGAGGAGTATCCAGACGAAGAGTATCTGGACATGTCAAAGTCATCGTCACTGAAACAAGAAAATATGAATAGTCAGATACCTGGACCTCCCTAACACCAGGGGGCAACACAAACAAGATTGATAGTGACAGTAAAATAAGTCAAACGTATGTAAATAATACAATATTGTGCTATGGAGCAAACAAACTCAACACAAACACGTACTGTATGTACTTTCATGTATTAATGCATGCGTTTACGTGTTTCTTAGTGTGCGTGTGTTCGAGTAAGGGCACATGACATAAAACAAAAGTGTGTGTGTGAGAGAGACAGAGTACAACAATGAGAGTGTGTGTAAGAGACAAAGAGAGAACAACAGAAAGTAATAATTGAGGGAGTGAGTGTGCATGCATAGCTGAAATAAGGGAGACAAACAAGTGTCTCTGTGTGTCAGAGAGAGAGAGAGCACATGACATCATCATTGGGATGGGTGCCAGAAAGCTGAGATCAGTAAAGGAGTTTGACATCGGCTGAGAACATGATGGAAAACAGCAACAACAACAACAACACAGGGTGGGGGACCCATGTATGCATCCCTTTATAGTGCACAACTTTTTACCAGGGCCTTAGTCAAAAGTAATGCACTATGAAGGGAATAGGGTGCCATTTGGGACATAGACCATCTGTCTCCCACGCTACTACACTGTGCAGGGAGCACAGAAGGAGGGAGGACCCTGAACCTCTTTTCCCGGCGGTCCAAATCACAAGCCCTCTAATCCGGCACACTGGGAGCAGATTTTTCCCTCATTTGGGAATGCCTCTGCCTGCTAAGAGAGAGGCTCGGAGCGGAGCTGTAACTGCCAACAGGGCAAAGCAGTCAGGTCACTCTTTTTTTCTGTCAGGGGCTACTCTTTCAGGCTGTATTGAATTCAGGAAAGTAGTTCCCCATGCATTGTGGCTGTGCTTTGAAAGGCTGAAGGCTCACAGTGGATCTCTGGAACAGGGCTGTTGGACGCCAGTTTTAGAGAAAGTAGCCCAAGACATTAGCAAGATGTGAGATGGGTTTCAATAAGGATTATTTTTCTCACCTTGTTTAAATCCCAGAGTAACATTATATTCACTGTTACCTGTCTGTGTCCAGCGTTACCAGGGGCTTCTCATCCGGGCTAGTCTGGTCTAAAGAGGAGTAGCCTTTGTTTGGCACCACCAAACTAAAGAAGAGGAGAGAAGAAAATACTTGGAGATTAGAAGCACGAAACATAGGAGGTATGTGAAGAGGAGGTGTGAGCCACCAACCCTGTAATCAAATTTAGAAGAAGATACATGGGGGTTCTCCTCAAAGTCAAATCTTAGCAAATTTCCAGTTACTGTGGCGCAAAAATGACGATATTCTGGTTTCTGGGTTTCTCTTCCGATCTCTTGAATACAATAGACGTGGCTAAATCTGGGACAAAACTGGGATATCATAAATAGCATGAACCAGCCTCCTCCTCAGCAGCAGCAGCTGTCCCAGTCAGCCACAGCAGGGGTTAGCACTCTCCTAGCCTGTTTAGAACGCTTTGGGCTAATCTCTGGCCTCCAGGCTAAAGGGGCTACTGCCTATAATCTGGGGCTCTGGGTGTAGGGGGAGCTGCTCTAACATATCTGCTAATCCACCCAGGGACTAGGATTACAGACAAAGGGAAAGGGCTCCTGTTAGTGGGTTAAATTGAACCAGGCCTAAGGTTTTTCTACTAGAGTGAGTCTGAATTTAGCATTCACAATCCACAAGGACACAATTTCTAAAGTCACTGTTTTATTATAAATGGTATATGTGGCGCAGTGGTCTAAGTGGTCTAAGGCACTGCATCGCAGTGCTAGCTGTGCCACTAGAGATCCTGGTTCGAATCCAGGCTCTGTCGTAGCTGGCCGCGACCGGGAGACCCATGGGGCGGTGCACAATTGGCCCAGCGTCGTCCAGAGTAGGGGAGGGAATGGCCAGCAGGGATGTAGCTCAGTTGGTAGAGCATGGCGTTTGCAACGCCAGGGTTGTGGGTTCGATTCCCATGGGGGGCCAGTATGATTTTAAAAAAGAAAAAATAATGTATGCACTCACTAACTGTAAGTCTCTCTGGATAAGAGCGTCTGCTAAATGACTAAAATGTAAATATGTCTTGGTGTATGTTTTGTGTTTTAAATGTTAAGTGTCATCATAAACACTGGTTGGCTGTCCCCTTGCAGGGTTGGTGTAGAACTTCTTTGAATGGCTGATCTTTCTTTGGGTAAGAGTTTACAGACAAACATTTTATAAATTTCAAATCGAATGGACTGTACAAAATGTGACAAAAGAAGTCAACCAAGCACCAAGCTGCCTTGTCGTGACTTCGGTCAAAATAATAAAAACAGCATGTTAAGAGCATAGGAAACCAATAGTGTGATCTTCATTGTTACCGTGTTCTGGCCATGACGTTGTTCTTCTTGGGTTGGTGGTTGATGGGGCTCCCCACGGTGCCTTTCTTTACTGATCCCTTCCTGGCCAGCTCTCTCTGTTTCTCTGACAATCACAGGAGATGACATCATATAGTTGGAAAACAAATAAATGAAACTGTCACCCCATTTTCTTCCGTGGCGTCATTCCTATTCAACACACAGTACTCAACTCAGGGCCTCCTGTTTCAGAGCAGACGGAATCGTTTCGCTATCTGACGTAAAACGATGACGGTAAACCACATCCCCCTTCTTCGATCTGTATCGGGTGAAATACTACTACCCTTTTCCACAATGTATTCAATTTATTTGCTTGTTCATCTGCTTTTATTTATGTAGTGCAGGGATGGGCAACTTTGATGGGGGTGGGGACACAAAAAATCTGAACTCATCATGAGGGACTGCAGTTGCTCAACGGTCTGCAATTCATGCTATTCTATTCATTTTGCCATGGGGAGGAGAGCAACATTAGTTGTTTTACAGCAAATTTCCTGCAATTCTACACATTTTGCCATAGGGTGGAGAGAAATTATTGCAGTTTTTAATATGATATCTGAGTGAGACTGGCTAACAAAATCAGTGGGGACCCCTCTGCCGGTAATTCGACCATGATTACTTGCAACAGTAAGTTGAGACCCCGACTGAGTAAAAAAATCATAAGTTGCCCATCCCTGCTTTAGTGAGTCTATAATTTATTTGTTAGCTTTCAGGTCTATCACTACCTTCTACCTGAACATGACTAAAAACAATATTAGTAGGCAACTGCACTGCAACACTGGTTGTGCTGACACACAGAACACTGTGGTCATTGATACCTTATATTGGCCTAGCCCTACTGGAGGGGCATGTGGGTAGTTATTGTAAACGTTGGGCTTGACTTCTATTTGACTTCCACACTGTGGCATGTGTGCTTGGAATTCCCCTGCAGTGCAGTAGAGAATAACCAGGTTGCCAAGAGATTATTGTGATGCAAAGCTTAATTACCATAAACCTGACACTTTATTTATTTATTTATTTAATCTCTGAAGCACAGTGCTGCTGACCAACTGAGTGCAGGAGAAACAGAGGGAGGGAGGGAGGGAGGGAGATAGGGTTATTTGGAAGTTGTCACCTCATTGCTCTTTCAAAGTTGTTGCCCCAGAATACAGTGAGTAAATTCAGCCTGTCACTGCTAGACTGTCTGTCAATCAAAGAGGACCTTTATGTGGTTCTGGCAGAATGGCTATTGGGTATTGGCTTTGGGCAATAAACCCCAAACAACCATAGCATTGCTCAGGAAGATCTAATACACTAAAGCTTCATTAGGCCTATTCATGGAGGAAACAGCCCAGATATTCATATTCAACCTAGACATGATCAGTCAGGAACACAAAACCTGTTTTGAAGCTCTATGCTTAAAGGAATAATGTTACAGAGATACAGTTCATGCCAAAGAAGAATGTAATAACTTCAGTGCATCTGGCAGAACTTGCCTTTTTACATGTCTCATGCATGAAGTGCTGCATGTAGCCTAATTGGAAGAAAAGCCATATCACACCTGTGACGATTCAATCTCGCTGTCGTATAGGCCCATCATACATATTTATTGTGCTCACTAAAAGAACACAGCATTGCTGCAAAATAATAGATTAACTACTGACTGAGAGAATGACTTAATTGACTAATTAAAGGGATATTCTGGCAATGAAGCCGTTTTTCTACTTATGAATTTACTCAAATGCTACAGCTGGTGGTTGTATGTTGTTATACTGTATATTGCCTGACAGACTGAATTATAAAAGAATCTATAGACAGAGATGGCCTTAGTGAAGGTCACCATGTGTTAGTAGAACACAGGCACAGTGATGCTGTACATATGTAGGGAGTGAGGAGAGGAGAGGTGTGTGTGTCTGGTGGAGATGCTATAATAAGGCTCACCTATTTTCACTTGCAGTGGGGAGGGCTTGTAGTTCATGGCCACCGTTTCACCTTCTCTCATGTCGGAGTTGGCCTCAGAGGTGGAGGATGCTGCTGGGTCCTGCTGCAGAACAAAAACAGATGATCATTTTTCCACGTTTGATTTGGTAATTTTCTATTAGATGTGTTCAAATTTCAAAATTCCCTGTGGTTGTTTTACATTTGACCTCTCGGCACAAATCAGCTTCCATATGCAACAGCCCTATTTTCAATTCCCAAACAGGCAGACCATTGCAGCATAACAACTTCACAACAGGTGGAAATAGGGCGGGGGGGTATTTTGCCATGCCCAAAGGCCTTTCCCAGACCCTTTGAGCACCTTTTCCCCTCATCTATCCTGGCTTTATATTTATATTTTACTGTTTAGTTAGCCTCTGCTCCCAGGCTTCACGTGAGGTGAAAGCCGGTGACAGAGGCCACTGTTCAGTGTGTGTGTGCCTGCCTGTGACTCTGATAGGTCAGTTGCCAATATAGAGGCGAAAGAAACGCACACCTATTTAGGCGAGGTGCTGGCTAACGGAGTAGAACACTTTAAAAAGAAAAGGAGAGCCGCACACTCTAGGAGCTCAGATGCAATAATTTAATAACCAACGTTTTGACAGACAAGCTGTCTTCATCAGGGTATAATGACAAACACTGCGGGTCACTAGTTTATATAGTGTCAAAGGACACACGCAGGTGTCTGTAATCATGGCCGGGTGTGGCCTAATAGCATTGGTTAATTCACAGATAAACAGAACATACAAAAAACATGGATATCATACGATCATAGATACAACTTGGCTACATAGGCCCACAAAGGTCAGTTGCCAATGCCAGAGCACTCTACTGGTGAGGCTGGGCTGGGAGAAGGCTAGTGAGGCTTTCTGTGAGTGACATCACTCGGGGATCTGTGAGAGAACAGAGGGGGTTCCTGTTGGAGCTCCAGTGGTAAGAGAGAGAGAGGGAAGAGTGTCCCAAATGCCATCCTATTCTCTAAAAGGTGCATTATATTTGACCAGAGCCGGCCTCTGGTCAAAAGTAGTGCACAATAAAGGGAATAGGGTTCCACTTGGGACGCAGCCGAGAGCTGCTGGGTGGTTGAGGGTCTGGCTGGCTGGTCGGCCTACTCCACTGACAGAGCCCTGCATTATGTTCACCAAAAGCCTGGCCCTGTTACAGCCAGCTAAGCAGGCCGGAGAGGAGAACCCACATGGGCGAGGCCTGCAAGGCAGGCTGAAAAAACGCTGCATTCTCTCCAGGGAACTAACTGGCTGCCGTGTTGAAACAACAGACCACTAACACGCCGCACAGCAGGCAGAGCCTGAAACTCCTATATAGCACCTAGTGAAAATATCCACTCCCTCCCTTGCATAGTTCTTCCATTCTGCTGCCTTCAGTTTAACAAGCACAGTTTACTACATTTAAACAGGTACTGTGTAGTCGTGGTCAAAAGTTTTGAGAATGACACAAATATTAATTTTCACAAAGTCTGCTGCCTCAGTTTTTATGTTATGTTATGAAGAGTGATCAGATGAATTGCAATGAATTGCAAAGTCCCTCCTTGCCATGAAAATGAACTTCATCCCCAAAAAACATTTCCACTGCATTTCAGCCCTGCCACAAAAGGACCAGCTGACATTATGTCAGTGATTCTCTCGTTAACACAGGTGAGAGTGTTGACGAGGACAAGGCTGGAGATCACTCTGTCATGCTGATTGAATTAGAATAACAGACTGGAAGCTTTAAAAGGAGGGTGGTGCTTGAAATCATTGTTCTTCCTCTGTTAACCATGGTTACCTGCAAGGAAACACGTGCTGTCATCATTGCTTTGCACAAAAAGGGCTTCACAGGCAAGGATATTGCTGCTAGTAAGATTGCACCTAAATCAACCATTAATCGGATCATCAAGAACTTCAAGGATAGAGGTTCAATTGTTGTGAAGAAGGCTTCAGGGCGCCCAAGAAAGTCCAGCAAGCGCCAGGACCATCTCCTAAAGTTGATTCAGCTGCGGGATCGGGGCACCACCAGTGCAGAGCTTGCTCAGGAATGGCAGCAGGCAGGTGTGAGTGCATCTGCACGCACAGTGAGCCGAAGACTTTTGGAGGATGGCCTGGTGTCAAGAAGGGCAGCGAGGAAGCCACTTCTCTCCAGGAAAAACATGAGGGACAGACTGATATTCTGCAAAAGGTACAGGGATTGGACTGCTGAGGACTGGGGTAAAGTCATTTTCTCTGATGAATCCCCTCTCCGATTGTTTGGGGCATCCGGAAAAACGCTTGTCCGGAGAAGACAAGGTGAGCGCTACCATCAGTCCTGTGTCATGCCAACAGTAAAGCATCCTGAGACCATTCATGTGTGGGGTTGCTTCTCAGCCAAGGGAGTGGGCTCACTCACAATTTTGCCTAACAAACCAGCCATGAATAAAGAATGGTACCAACACATCCTCCGAGATCAACTTCTCCCAACCATCCAAGAACAGTTTGGTGACGAACAATGCCTTTTCCAGCATGATGGAACACCTTGCCATGAGGCAAAAGTGATACAGTGAGTGAAAAAAGTATTTGATCCCCTGCTGATTTTGTTCGTTTGCCCACTGACAAAGACATGATCAGTCTATAATTTTAATGGTAGGTTTATTTGAACAGTGAGAGACAGAATAACAACAAAAAAATCCAGAAAAACTAATGTCAAAAATGTTATAAATTGCTTTGCATTTTAATGAGGGAAATAAGTATTTGACCCCTCTGCAAAACATGACTTAGTACTTGGTGGCAAAACCCTTGTTGGCAATCACAGAGGTCAGATGTTTCTTGTATTTGGCCACCAGGTTTTCACACATCTCAGTAGGGATTTTGTTCCACTCCTCTTTGCAGATCTTCTCCAAGTCATTAAGGTTTCGAGGCTGACGTTTGGCAACTCGCTCCCTCCACAGATTTTCTATGGGATTATGGTCTGGAGACTGGCTAGGCCACTCCAGGACCTTAATGTATTTCTTCTTGAGCCACTCCTTTGTTTTTGCCTTGGCTGTGTGTTTTGGGTCATTGTCATGCTGGAATACCCATCCACGACCCATTTTCAATGCCCTGGCTGAGGGAAGGGGTTCACACCCAAGATTTTTATAATATAGGTACATGGCCCCATCCATCGTCCCTTTGATGCGGTGAAGTTGTCCTGTCCCCTTAGCAGAAAAACACCCCCAAAGCATAATGTTTCCACCTCCATGTTTGACGGTGGGGATGGTGTTCTTGGGGTCATAGGCAGCATTCCTCCTCCTCCAAACACGGCGATGCCAAAGAGCTCGATTTTGGTCTCATCTGACCACAACACTTTCACCCAGTTCTCCTCTGAATCATTCAGATGTTCATTGGCAAACTTCAGACGGGCCTCTATATGTGCTTTCTTGAGCAGGGGGACCTTGCGGGCGCTGCAGGATTTCAGTCCTTCACGGTGTAGTGTGTTACCAATTGTTTTCTTGGTGACTATGGTCCCAGCTGCCTTGAGATCATTGACAAGATCCTCCCGTGTAGTTCTGGGCTGATTCCTCACCGTTCTCATGATCATTGCAACTCCACGAGGTGAGATCTTGCATGGAGCCCCAGGCCGAGGGAGATTGACAGTTATTTTGTGTTTCTTCCATTTGCAAATAATCGCACCAACTGTTGTCACCTTCTCACCAAGCTGCTTGGCGATGGTCTTGTAGCCCATTCCAGCCTTGTGTAGGTCTACAATCTTGTCCCTGACATCCTTGGAGAGCTCTTTGGTCTTGGCCATGGTGGAGAGTTTGGAATCTGACTGATTGATTGCTTCTGTGGACAGGTGTCTTTTATACAGGTAACAAGCTGAGATTAGGAGCACTCCCTTTAAGAGTTTGCTCCTAATCTCAGCTCGTTACCTGTATAAAAGACACCTGGGAGCCAGAAATCTTTCTGATTGAGAGGGGGTCAAATACTTATTTCCCTCATTAAAATGCAAATCAATTTATAACATTTTTGACATGCGTTTTTATGGATTTTGTTGTTGTTATTCTGTCTCTCACTGTTCAAATAAACCTACCATTAAAATTATAGACTGATCATTTCTTTGTCAGTGGGCAAACATTAAAAATCAGCAGGGGATCAAATACTTTTTTCCCCTCACTGTAACTAAGTGGCTCGGGGAACAAAACATCAAAATTTTCAGGCCCATGGCCAGGAAACTCCCCAGACCTTAATCCCATTGAGAACTTGTGGTCAATCCTCAAGAGGCGGGTGAACAAACAAAAACCCACAAATTCTGACAAACTCCAAGCATTGATTATGCAAGAATGGGATGCCATCAGTCAGGATGTGGCCCAGAAGTTAATTGACAGCATGCCAGGGCAGATTGCAGAGGTCTTGAAAAAGAAGGGTCAACACTGCAAATATTGACTCTTTGCATAAAGTTAATGTAATTGTCAATAAAAGCCTTTGACACTTATGGAATGCTTGTAATTATACTTCAGTATACCATAGTAGCATCTGACAAAAATATCTAAACACTGAAGCAGCAAACTTTGTGAAGACCAATACTTGTGTCATTCTCAAAACTTTTGAGTCTACACTGTAGACAGACATGTAATTAAGCAATTAAGAATTTTATCAGGATCCCCATTAGCTGTTGCGAAAGCAGCAGCTACTCTTCCTGGGGTACACACAAAACATGACATACAGTGCATTCAGAAAGTATTCAGACCCCTTGACTTTTTCCACAATTTGTTACGTTACAGCCTTATTCTAAAAGTCCGGGCTCTGGCTGGGCCACTCAAGGACATTCAGAGACTTGTCCCAAAGCCACTGCTGTGTTGTCTTGGCTGTGTGCTTAGGGTCATTGTCCTGTTGGAAGGTGAACCGTAGTCCCAGTCTGAGGTCCTGAGCGCTCTGGAGCAGGTTTTCATCAAGGATTATGGTCAATAATATCAAAGGCTGCACTGAAATCTAACAGTACAGCTCCCACAATCTTCTTATTATCAATTTCTTTCAACCAATCATCAGTAATTTGTGTCAGTGAAGTACATGTTGAGTGCCCTTCTCTGTAAGCATGCTGAAAGTTAGTTGTTAATTTGTTTACAGAGAAATAGCATTGTGTTTGGTCAAACACCATTTTTTCCAACAGTTTGCTAAGAGCTGGCAGCAAGCTGATAGGTCTGCTGTTAGAACCAGTAAAGGCCGCTTTACCACTCGTGTAGCGAAAT